GCAGAGGCCAGGGATACTGTTAAATACCCTATAATGAAAAAGACAGCCCCCACCCCATCCCAACAAAAAATTATCTGGACCCAAACATCAACAGCGCAGAGGTTAAAAAAGCTCTCCTCTAGGGGAATATAACTTTGTTTGACATACTATTTATTATGGATTAGAGCCCGTATGCTAACTTGAAGAAAACTCAGTAAGATGCGAATAATTTTTATCTAGTAGAGATGCAAATTATATCTGTTCAGTAGAGAAGATAACCCAAAAGTTATGGTTTAATCGCCCAGTAGGATATTGTATTAGTTATCTACTGTGTAATGAAATACCCTAAAACTTAGTAGCTTAAAACAACAATAAGCATTTATTATTGTCATGGTTTCTGTGGATCAGGAATTCATTAAGAGGCTTTAATTCTTGGAGAAATTCTTAGAGAAACAATTTTCATATGCTCTGTAACAGTGTTGTTCATTTGGTTGGGTTTCTTTTTCCTTCGGGTAAGAGGTCTTGTGACGTTTGTTTAACTGTCCTTTTTTTTCCTCTAGTATGCCCTGGGTTTTTGTTTTGTCTTAATTCTGTTTTAATTTTGAGCTTCATCCAAAATTGGTGGTAAGTTCATGTAGGGAAGGAGGCAGGATAGTGTCCAGGCCAGGTGAAATTAGTTTTATATCCTACATTTTGCATGTGAATTCAGTTTGCCTTTACATTCTGGCAGGATTGGCAACTGTGGGATTTTTTTTTTTTGTCACAAAGCCTCTCTAGCACTCTGCTATCCTAGAGACAGATCCCTTCTTGCAAATATTCCACATCTGTGTGCTCTGCCTCTTCTGCTTCTCAGAACCAAACCAGGTCCAGGAAGAGCCTGTCACCAGCTGGTATATCTGTTCCTTCTGTTGTAAACAAGAGATTGAGTATGTGGACATCAGAATGTGCCCCTTTGCTCTGAGAAGGATATTTGTTGCTGCTTGTTTTTTGTTTATTTGTTTATACTGCAGCCATTGAATCCCTGTCTACTGTAGCAGCTTCTCTCCATGTCCTCCTACAATCCTCTCTGATCAATCTTTAATGCTTTTGGCTACCTTTCCTCTGTTGGACCTAGGATTTCAGATCTCCCCTAGTTTCTCTGCAAATGAAACTTGTTTTTTGTTTTTATTCTCATTGTTGTTTTTTAAATGATTTCCAGTAAGAGAGGTAATGATTTCTTTTTCCCTCAACTTTTTTTCTTCACTACAAACCTTCAGAAAAGTTTAAAAAATAGTGCAACGAATATCCATGTACTCTTCACTTAGATTCAACAATTGTTAACATGTTGCCGTATTTGCTTTATTTCTCTACATAATGACTTTTTTCTTGTACTGAATCATTTGAAGGAAGTAAATTTCAGATGTTGATACTTCATCCCTAACTACTTCAGCAGGCATCTCCTAAAAATAGACATCCTCCTACATAACCATAAAATCATTGTCACACTAGCACTTCATAAACATTCACTCAACACATTTATTTATTTATTTATTTATTTATTTATTTATTTATTTATTTATTTATTTATTTATTTTTGGGGAGGAAGAGCAGCCCTGAGCTAACATCCATGCCAATCCTCCTCTTTTTTGCTGAGGAAGACTGGCCCTGGGCTAATATCCGTGCCCATCGTCCTCTACTTTATGTGGGACGCCCGCACAGCATGGCCTGACAAGCAGTGCATCGGTGCTCGCCCAGGATCCAAACCCGGGCCACCAGCAGCGAGTGCGTGCACTTAACTGCTACGCCACGAGGCCGGCCGTACATCATTTAATATATAGTTTATATTTAAATTTCCCCAAATGCCCCCCCCAAAGAGTCTGCTTTATTTATTTTTTGATCCAGAATCCAATTAAGGCTTACATCTTTCCATTTGGTTGTTGTGTTCCATTAAATCTCTTTTGATCCAGAACTGCCCCTGCTCTCCTTTTTTTGTTTTTTATGACATTTCATTTTTGAAGTGTTCAGGCCAGCTGCCTTATAGAATGCCCCCACATGATGCTTTCCTTACACTATTGTGTATAAACTGCAAGTCACTTAGATTCTGAATGGATGTGAATTGCAATATACTTGCCATTGACATTTTTAAGAGAAAATAAAGTAAATATTTTTGCTTGAAGTCCAGTACTCTCCAGACTTCAGCAAGCAGTTTTTGGATGCAGCCTGGAGGAAGCTATTTCCTGATGAGCCTGAAATTCCAGGTAGTTTCCTATCATTACCACCTTCAATAGTTGTAAAAGACATTCTGGTTGTCAAATATATGGCGTACTTTTTATTTTAAATGTTAATTTTTGTTTTTCTCTTGTCTTCCTGGATAAACTAAATTCTTTCAAGAGCTAGCCTCTTAAGCAGACTTATACTTTCACCTATTTTTCTTTAAACTCATTTTGGTTTTTTACCCATTTGGTTTCTTAATCTTGCCTACCTATTTTCAAACAGCGAGAATAGCCAGTGTTAGAAAACAGACCAGAGCTAACACACCACGCAGAGTGCCAGGAATCAGAAATACTCCTTTGAATGTTTTTCATTTAAACTTCTTTTTTTAAATAATTCTTTTTTTTGACACAAAATTTAGTTAAGTGTTGTGTTTAGAGTAACTACAAAGCCATGTAATACATAGAGTCTGGGCTCTTGAAGACAATTGTAGAGAAGAGCCCTGTTTAATTGCAAAATAAGATTAACTTATGTATAAGGTTTTTTTTTTTTTCCTGTGAGGAGATCATCCCTGTGCTAACATCTGCCAAACCTCCTCTTTTTTTGCTGAGGAAGACTGGCCCTGGGCTAACATCCGTGCCCATCTTCCTCCACTTTATATGGG